CCGCCGTAGATAGGACGTTGAACACTTGGAGAATAGGCTTCAAGGTGGCATGCTAATAATACATCTAAACCACGGGAATCCGAAGCGAGACGGCAGACATGGTGGAGTAAGCAGGAAATGGAAACATTACTTATGGGCTTCGAGGAGACAAGGACACAAGCTCAGCAATGTACATGTAATCAGCTTAGGTGCCCTTTCGGCTTTGCCGCCGGGCGTAATAAATTGTGTGTGTGTGTGTGTGTGTACCTTCGGTTCTCGAAGACATCCAGAACGGCCGTGAAGACATCGAATCCAGTGTGGCCGGGCCTTATCCCACGAGTGTACAAGCACGACCATATGTTGCTTCCTTTTCTGCACTTATGATCCGCGTTTCTGAGGTCAAGAAGTGCAATGTGCTCAAAAACTCCAAACATGGCGGTTGCTGCCTAATCTAGACCAATTGTGGAGCTATCACGGTGAGTTACAGTGCGAGTAGGCAGAGAGGTATCAAGGGGGGGGGGGTGCCCATCGCTTTTTAAGAGATGACACTATGCGGAGCACCGAAAACATCCAGTATGCTCCCCTGACGAGGAAGCGACTTAAGTATGAGCATAATTGTCATTATTGTGGCATGATCCGTTATGCGCAGCCTCTCAATCCCGTCTTTACGCAGGGGTTAAACAAGGGTTTGTGCCAGAAGCCAAAACGGAGGTGTGGGGGACTCAGCATTTAGCGGTCATTTATGGATGCCACCGCTATCGCCGACAAGAGCCATGACAGAGTATTCATTTGCCTCGACGCATTTGCTGTAACCCGCACACAGTACATAGTACCTTTACATTACATGCTTGTCTGACAACGGCCAATTTTCCTTCTAACCGAGTGACTTCCGCGAATAACCCGCACAATGCAAACATCACATTAGGTGGGGATGTGACCGACACCATTGTCTAACAAAGCTAACGTCGAGAGCAAGGGATGACATGAAAGCAGCAAAAGAATGGGGGGGAGGGAGCATCTAGCTTTGGGCACAGTACTCCGTACATGACACAACTTTTCTGTTCAATTTTACATCTAGGCAAAACGTCCTGGGTACGCAGTATCTAAGAACTTTCAACACTCGCCCTCCCCCCATGTGTTTCTTGCGCAAGTTCCTTCCTCAGCTTCCGCACGTCGAATCCGTACAAAGCACGTCTCGACATCCATGCGACTGCCGTTCACCTACGCGACCAGCAGGTGCAAACAAAGGCGAGAAAGTTTACGCGTCGCTTGTTCTGCGGCGCTTTCGTGGCTGCCCTTGTGGTCCCATTTGCGATTCGGTTGCGATGGCTGAGATTTCTTCGATCCCTCCGAACCTGGCCAACTGGATCAGCAAAGCTTGATGGGCCCTCTGGCAGCCCTCTCGCAACACACGCTCGCGCTGATCAAGATGGTGCATTCGAGTCACCAGACTCAGGGCACGATAATATCTGCTTCGCCACTCTCCGCTGACATCGTGAGCCGGAAGCCCAATGGGCAGACGGAAAATGTCCCGATGTTCTTCGTCTATACGGAAACGCTCATTATATATGAAAACCAGCTCTTTTTGCGCGCCCGACAGGTACTGCTGCACATTCCACATGTAATGCAGCGCAGTTTGAGCCTCGCAATTGGGGTCAAGACACATGGTGCCTCGCTATTCGCAACCATCAGGATAGTTAATGACAGTACCTATGGGGTTGATGGAGAGATTGGCCCACCTGCGGCCACGGGTATGTGGGGTTGATCGATGGAAGAGACGTTACTCCGGGTCTAAGAAAGACTCGCGGGCGGAACGGTGGTGGGTTCCCGCCGTGGAATGAGTGGATCGGTGTCGACATCAGATAGAGGACACAGAGAAATGGTTTTGTCTGAATGTCTTTTGATGAGTTCCATATTGCTTCCGTGGCGCGCAACTACGGGCTTTTATGCTTTTTTCCCCTTCTTCATTTCTCTTTCGGCCTGGCCGCCTGCTATCCATTGTCATTGCAAGCAGTCGGGAAGCTACATGGTCAATCTGTTATATTCTGTCAATTCGACATTGGCCGGTTGTTTAACCAACACGATTGCTACCCCAACACCAAACCTATTGCCAAGTCGACCCCCGATGCTAACCAACGGTCGCAACAAGATGGGGAACAAGAGAGGACGCGCCACTCCACCTTGCGACTGTGCCTGGATCTTCCTGCCAATACCGAGCTTGACGTTGGACCCACCATGGCCTACGAGCTGTAGCCGTACTTCCTTGGTCAGATCTTGAGGCTTGACGTCCATCCACGTCCCTTCAGTCTTGGTCTCCTCAGCCAAGCAAGCTAGTGAACCTGCGAGACGCATTACGTCACCCTATGTTGGCTTTTACTGATCATAGTGATGGTAAGGTTTTCCCGAGAGTACTCCAATTGATTAGTAAGTCGAGCACACTTATCTGCGCCGCTGTGCTTGCTTGTCTGACTACTGTATGCGACGCGCTAAGGTTTGTGTCCGTGATCACGATGGTGCAGATGCAATTTTCCGTTGGAGGCGGCAGGCACGCTCCACATGCAGCATCTGCAGTCACGATTCGAGACACGAAGCCCAACTGTTCGTTGCCGTTTCCCCTCTGACATGCTGAATGCACTGTAGAGAGCTTTTTGGATTGGTGTTGCAGAGACAAACATCGAGCTCGTGTGCCCATCGCGCTGCGTGGTTCGCTTCGGTTTGCTGCACCGACGCAATGCGTAACCATGTCGTATTGCGGGCCGGTGAGGGATAATTTGCGATCAGTTTTCTGACCGAACATCGTGGTTTTCGGGTCCGCGGCTCTGCTTGTCCACTATCGGCGAGGTCAAAATGCGGTAACATCACAACCGCTCGCGCCATCCGTGGTGATTGCTCCAAGAAACAATCCCTCGGATAAGCGTACGCGCGTCGCAAAACATGTCACTTCCTTTTTTGCACGTACTGCTGCCGTGATGAGCTTCTTCAAGCATCTGGTAATGGCTGCGGCGGCCTGGTTGCAAACAACATTTGAAATGGGATCGTGCGGATAGCAGCATATTCTAAGGATCTTCTTGTCAGTGCCCGCCATCGGCGCTGTACAGCATCGACATCTGGATCCGTACACGTACAAGTCCCTTCGGCCAGCCGCTAATGAGGCGAGTGTATTCACGCTGTCCCCTACACCACATGTAGCAGGCTCAATATCGCCAACCTCGGCCATGTGTCACACAACTCTGCTGCCCTGTAGACCCTGTTATGGAGGCAAATGGATCCGAGACTTCGACTCGCATTTCCTCTCGAGATCTCGACTGCTATAAGGGGATAGGCGGTATGCTGTGGCAGGCGTGGCCTCCGAAGCACGTGCGGAGGGCCGCGGGCTACCCAATGTCTTTGCGTCGCTGGTCTCGAGGCAGCACGTGGCCGTTTCGTGCTCACACCGTTGACCAGATCGGCGTTATCGTCCGGAGTTGCGGCAATGCTCCGGGTTGAAAAGCCCATAGACCAAGGAGGGTAAGCCTGGCAAGCACTTTGCAGGATGGCTGCGCCTGTTAGATTGGCATGTTCCTCACAGCGCTAGCATAGCCTTGGCCGCAACGGAGCAAGGCTTCAACCTCTCCCCGTCCAGACAGGTAAGGCCGAACAAGGTAAGGCCGAACAAGGGCGGACGAGCGGAAGTGATCACCTACGCCAAAGTTCACTTCGCTCAACCTATCCATTAGGTACATCGGGTTCTCCCTGGCAAAGTCCCTTCATAGCCGCCCGATTGAGCTTCGGGAACTACCTACGGCCACTGATAGGACGCTACAAGCGCACGGCCGAGAAGGCAGGAAACTTGCTATCCCCTGCGTATGGTGAGCGTGTCCTCCAAGCGCCCCAGCAATTCGCTGCTGCCTTCAGTGGGCCATCTAACTCCATAGACCGACGCAATTGTTACTCTTGTTTCGGTTGAACTTCTTTTCTTGGCCCTTCCACAGAAGCATTCGCTGTTTAAACCCATCCGTGAAACCCTTCCATACACAGATACTCGTGAGCCTATTGGCAGCCGGGAAAAGGACCGACAAGGCGCTTGCGCAGGGTCCACAAGTCGGATTTCTAAGGCGCATCTTACTGGTTGTCTCCCAGCCAACGACATGATATCCATTGCCCCAAGAACATCCGCCGATGGTTATCCGTTGTCCATCACAACCTTCACCATTCGCCCTTATCGTCACTGCCTACGTTGAAGCGAGGCTTCAATGACGAGATCAGCGAGCCTTTGCGCTGCAATTGATGCCTGGCGGGCCACTGTCCAAACGCCCGACGAGCCCGGCAAACACGGCGAACAGGCGCTGCCCAGCCGTCCGCGAAAACGACGCCGCATCCATCCCAACACTGAGTTGAGGGTTCCATTGTCACCGCCATCGTCGCACTCTCCCGGTTTCGTTTCTTCTCTGATGGAATCCAGGCCCCTTACAGGAGTCAAACGCAAGCATGACAACAGTCAGCAGGACAATGACGGCGACGAAGAGCCAAGCGCAAGCCTTCTTCCTAATATACACGACATCCATTCCACGCCGCGAGCGTCCCAGCTCAACGACCAACGCATTGCTCGCGCATCCACGCCTAGCCTCTCATCGGCGTCTAGCGTTTCATCACGGACGTCCTCACCTACGAAACAGTTGAGAAGACTGGCTCTTCAGGCCGACGGCTTTGTCCATCGCAAGTTTGCGAAGAGCCGCGCTGAATTGCCCTCCTCGCTCGCCACACTCGTCAACGAGCTGCAGGGAATCAGATATGGGTTTCAACTACTGCCGCATGGCATGCGCATCGAGGTACATACTTTAAAATCCATGACGAGATTGTCATCGCCTGCTCCATTCCCTTCTGCCATGGACGCTTGTCTTCTACCGATTGGACCACAGACTGACAGTTCGCCGATCAAATGCCAGTTTGCCGACTTCGATATACCAGATCAGGCTTATCTCCCCGAGGGCATTCCTGCACCACCCGGCTTCCGGTGCCCACCCCGAGATCTCGTTGCATGGCTACTAGACCAGGCCGAAGACTGCGAAATCAACCTTCACGGCGAACCTAGCTGGAACACGGAGCTCCACCTGCCAATGATGGAATGGGCGCTTCGACCGAACCGCCACCGCGGCCTTGTTGACTACACATACTGCACTGGCGCCCAGGTGGTTAAAACATACAGGGCGAAGCAATCAGCGTCGAACATGGTTGACTTTTGCATGGTCATCCGCCCTCCCGGAGGAAGTGCTGAGGCCAGCCGGATTGATGAGGTTCGGGAAAATCGACCAGATGTGACCATCAATCATACGGACCACGGAATTTTGTGCAAAAGCCCCATCGTCGTATCGTTCGAGACCAAGCGTCCCGGCGCCGACCTCGAGAAGGCGATGGTGCAGATGGGATCATGGCACTCGTCACAATGGCGGAGTTTCCTGCAAGGCCCTACCGACCCGCGGGCAGTCCAGTTTTTGCCTGGCGTCATTATCAGCGGCCACAGCTGGTCTTTCGTTGCTAGCGCGATCCAAGATGGCAAGTCCGTTCTTTACAGCGACGTCGAGCTCGGCAAGACGTCGACCGAGTTCGGGATCATTACTGTGCTTCTTGCCATGCAGCACCTCGCCCGCTGGGCTGAAAACACATACTGGCCCGTATTCAAGTCCGAGATCCTTCAAATGTGACTAGCTGCCATTATAGGTACCACAATCTACTTCGAGTTCACAATCCCTCCAGCAGCGTCGCACCCGGCCGAACCGTGAGCGAAATATGAGGTGTCCATGCGCTGATCTAAAGTAGTTCAATGCCGCCTCTACGGCTGTGGCAAGATCGATGATTGATGGTCCGTACCGAATGTAAGGATACCCCGTTCGTGTCCAGATTTCTCTACCTTTGGCTCAAGCCCCTAAGCGCTACGCTAATATTGCCGTCCACCTCTTGTAGCTTTGGCTCAACGTTTCCAACACGGCGGGAATATGGCTCCATCTAAGATTGTCCCGTCCAGAAGTTGTCACATGCCGTGGTAAGGCAGCTGCACCGTTCCGTAAGGATGAGCTGATGCTAGAGTGTGAGGTCGATTGTGTTTAGCCTGATGTCTAACCGATTACGGTTGACAGTTCCGGCAAGTCCCTTTGAACCACACTCAGCCTATCCCCGAGATTGGCAGTAGCTGGCCAACATGCAATTCGGCCGTCATCCGTGCGTGTCGTCAGGATACCGGCCTGGGCTCATTTGGCATGCGCTTTCGGGGCGAGAAGAATCCGACGCCGATGGAATGGATTGAATGCTCGAAACCAGTAGAAGGATTATTGAAGAGCTCATTTTAATCTTGGCCCACAATACGGCTGTCGAGGACAAGTAGGCAGGATCAGCGACTAGCTATTTTGGATGCCATAAGCTTACATCTCAACCCCGTCTTCTTGGACTGACGCAGACTTCATACTTTGTGTGATGAAGGATGCGGAATCCTCAACTGTCTCGAGCTCGCCCCAATTCGAATCGCGGGACCAGAATCCCGACGAGATCGTTCCCGTCGTTGTAAGTGACGGCCCCGCTGTTGAGTCCATCGTCATTGGTCGCCGGGTTCCCAGTCTCGTCTCGAGGTCACGCACAGCCGCTTGTTCCAGATGTCGGCTGAGCTCCCAGAGCCGGGCTTTCTGCTGCTTCCTGATGGAAGCATGGCATGGGGGGGACATCCAGGCTGGGTAGATTTTCTGGTGGCTTGCCGATACTCCAATGTTGAGGGGATGGCGGGACATGAACTCGTTGCAGAGGTAGCAAGCCTTTTTGCTAGTACCCATGAACAATAGCCTAGGTGTAAGGTGGGGATGGTGGTCGTAAAAGCTGAGCAGCTGCATTTCAGCGTGCACAACGAGTGTCAGCTTGCAAGCTCGTCGTAATTTTGTCTCGGGGTCGTTCGTTAACCAGGTTTGACCGAGTTTCTCCCTTAACGCTTCTGGGTCGCTTTGGGCAATTTTCTTGAGCATTGTCAAGAGAGGTTCCCTCTGTGTGCCTAGCGAGAAACCCTCCGGCTTCGGAGCTTCGATGGCTTCGATGTGTATCCCTGTGAAGATGCTTGGTTGCTTCACGGCCAATTTGAGCATCGCCTTGATTGCAGCAAAGTATCGCCCTAGCTTGTAAACGTATTTCAACCACGAGGGTAATGACCCGTCCGTGAGCCCGAAGAGCCTTTCGAGGTGTTCAGAATACATCCATCTACCGCGTGATGCCCACTGGACATGCGGTATGAACTGGGTAAGATGGCTTCCGGCATCGAGAGACGCAAGTGATGGCAGGTTACGGACCCATGTCCTAAAACCCAGCTCTTCGGCGTTGTCCGAGGATGACTGATCCATTTCTTGGATAGCACGTTCGATGGTAGCTCTGATCTCCGGAAGGCTTATCTTCTCCACGAGTGCGCGAATTCTGTCCTGAGTAAGGACGACGACCTTACGCAACACCTCAGGTTCCACGTCGTCCGGTCTCTTATCTAGGGTTCGTGTTGATCAGCGTCTCGTTCGGATTGCTCTAATTTCGCCGTGAATTACCCCTCAGAGAAACTGCTGTAAGATCGATGAGAACATCCTGCAGTTGATTGAGCAATTCCTTGGGAACGCCCAGATTCCTGGCAAGTCGCAGAACTGTCCCACCTGGATGATCCTGCTCCAGACCTACTGCAGAGGCAGTTTCACCCCCTATCCTTGAAGTCGAAGATATCAGAGCAAACGAGTCGAGGAATTTCTTCTGGTACTGCTCATGTTTCCAGTAATTATCGTGAGGATGCCTATCGAGGCTATGAGTTGTAGGCTCACCACGTACTGGATCAATCAGATGTAGTAGTGCCGTAACAATCACGAATCGCTCGTGAGCCTTGCCAGTGAGGCTTGTCGGGGTTGTCTCCGCCATGTAACGAGCCTCTGCCAACTCACTCTACCGGCCTTGATTGTATTGCATACTCCTGAGAATTGGCCGGGCTGTCGATTGCGTTGAGGCCGGGGGATCGTTTCACTTGAAATGATCATGTATACCTTCTCACTTCCCCCTTCAACGCACTTGAGAGGATCCGCATTTGGCTTAGGCTTGCTGCTGGAGGCCGGGCGTCTTCTATTGGCCGGGCAAAGAGACCTTCGCATGACACGCCCACGCCCACGCCTACGCCTACGCTCCGACATACATCGTGATAGGTTCATGTCAATTGTCACGTGGCGAGGACAAGGGCCTAATACATGGATTTGTTGAGCAACAGCGCGAAAGCCTGTAATCGTCGCACAGATCCACTCCACCCCACTTGATGGATAGAATGGTGGACCCCACCGGCCCCAGTCCCATTCAACGATCGGGGCCAACGTTTGAACGTAGAGCGGGGTTTGTCGCTGGTTACGCTCCAGGCCTCCTTTCAAACCCACCGAAGCCCAGCTAATCCACCACTAGATCTTTACTACCACCTCCATGTGTCACATCTTTCAAGGAAAACCGTCACCAACTACAGTCCCATTGGACACGACAAAACATGGCATGGGCACCAGCCACAGGGTTTCGAATCGGTGCGATAGATCCCACACTTCTGGAGGACGATGTCACCATGCCATTGACCATTTGCTCGCAAGGACCGCAAAATGACAATACTAGTGAGGCTGATCGATCGGACTCGAATGTCTTGGACCACTCAGGTTTTTTCGCATACGACTCTACAGCGAATGACTTGACGTGCGATTTGCTTCTCCATCCGTCTTCCGCCCCTCCGCACCCTTCCGAGATCCTTTCACCCTCCCAACTGTCTTGAGGCATTGGAGAGTTGCCACCGCTTCACCAACAGATGGATATCTTTAGTGAGTATGCGGAGCAAACGGTGATGGGAAATTCATTAGGCGCAGAGGCGGCTTGCTTTGGAGGGACCCTCGACTGGGGGCCACAGCGGTCAGATTCAGTACCGAACTCGACACAAGCCAACCTCGCTCCGTTTTCGTCCAGCTTGGAATCTGCCTCGTCGAGACATGTCAGCGAAACCTTTCGTGGTCTCTGGAAGGATTGTTCAGTCACTGCTAAAGACCAAAGCGTCTTTGAGTAAGTACAGTGAATTGCTCATAATTTTTATTGCGCTAGCAAGCTCCTGCTCACACTTCCCAGCGAACACGTCTGGCGGCACACACAATGTCCGAAGGTCGAATGCCTATCATATTTCACGGATGAGAAAGAGAAACGAAGACATGTCTGGACGACGCACAGGAAATGGGCGCAGTCGATAAATTTCCCTATGATCGGTGGGATATGCGACCACTGTGGCGGGACTTTCACTCGGGATGACAACTTGCTTCGCCATAAGAGAAGGAAACATATTCCTTGAATGAGATATGAGCCAAACATCGACCATACTGCTCATGCCTTCCTTTGGAATCCGTTCAAAGTATGCGCAGTGCTTCAAATTGTCCGCTACCCGGGCAGAGAAATCTGAGCGTAAACGGTATACATTTAGTAGAAACACAAAGGCCTTGCCCAGTCACAACCGAAACGAACGAGCGACACAGTACCGCCATTCATCCGAGTATCTCGAAGCGCCATCAGAGTACATCACTCATCTCCAGTAATTAGAGAGAAAGGGTATCTTATGGGATTTATCTGCGGCTTAGTTCCGCCCAAATCAGCCGTGATCCGTCCGATCCTGTCCGATCCTAATTCGTTAGAACCCGAACCAAATACCCACACAGTCAAATCAATTCACTGTCTGGTCTGGTACCTATTTTCTTTATGCTTCTTCCTGCCGGCAGATGACTGTCGGGCTAAGGGCATAGACCGACCTGGCCGTCAAACCTGACTTATTCAACTTCTCTAAAGCAAGTTGGGTACACGTGAACTTCGCGCGCCTTATCAAAGGCACCACTCCAACAGCCCATTGGTCTGCTAGGGGACCATTACAGACGGCATAGCAACTCGATCAATAGGCTCGCAGAACGGTCTACGACTCGCCGATCAACAGAAGTGGGATGGAGATACTCACCGACTTGGAACACAGAATTCAACTTTCCTAGGTGCCCACTACTTAGTATGACAATAGCTTGCGTCACAAGCCACCGAATGTTGTACGTCGTTAATGGCTACTGGTAGCAGGACGGGACACTTGGACCATCCATCGCCTAGAGCCATTCCCGTGAAACCACAAAGGGGCAGACAAGGTTATTGTGGAATACCAAGCTGGTGGGTTAAGGATGATGTGGGAAGGCAAGAGATTGATTCATCCGCCAGCGACAAGTGGGCAGAACTGCGAGGCTCTCTGATGACATCCCGGTCATGTGCTATCGACTGCTTGCGGCAGCGGGAGAGGCCGCACGGACTAGCGAGACACTGTTGAACCCCGATGTTGGAGGCAGAGCTTGCTCCGTTCGTTGTAGATGCTGATGCATCTTTTCCTTTGATATTATGATGGTGTATGTGTGGTCTGGACATTGCTGTGGTGGCAACATCGCAGGGCTCAAGATCCGGGAAGAAAGTGGAAGTATACACACGTCTTAGAGGACGCTTTTGCCATCCTCGGTTCGATGAGACCAGAAGTGGGGTAGTTCAGAAAGGATCATCGCTCTCTTCTGAAAAGCTGAGGCTTTAAGAGCACAAACAGCCTTGTGGGCCTTACTACCTGACGATTTAGGTGGTCCGCTGAAGAGTGACTTTGGGTGCAATTTTCACACTGTCATCGAAGGTGACGGATAATGAAAATTCCTTGGGCACGTGTTGAGATGGAGGGACAACTCGGCCGTTCCAGCGTATGTTACAAAACGAAATGCATAGACGTAGTAAAGCGCCACCATATAGTAAGCGATGCTGCGTCACGCCGAATACCACGCGGTTCGCCCCTGGCTAAGACCTCCTCTGTTGACGAATTTCGTGTTAAGCCTATATTCAACAGATGCGCATAAGCTACTCGTATCATTTGGGCGCAGCATAAACGATCACTGGAACTGGTCCCTGGCTGGAACGACATGTAGATCGCGCAGGTGTTTGAAAAAGCATGCCTGACCTTGATCGTCGGACAGGCCCTTCTCGTTTCCAGAATCGTTTCTAGACAGACCGACTCCACCATGCGTCACAAAGCCATTTTCTGTTTGTCCGGGCAAAGCTCAGAATTCAATTTAAGAAGTTGATATGTAACACAGTAGAGAATTATCGCTTTTCAAACCTGGAGCGCATCTTAACACACATTTGGAGTAATGTAAGGCATTTACATCTAGTCCACGGCCAGCCAAATGCGCAAGATTCGTCGACCAGAACGATCAGCCATGATCAGAATCTTCGGATCATGTGGAATCACCTTTGGATCGAATTAACTAAAGCACAAAATAAAAGTGTCAAACGGTTACGTACGCGCGGCACACGTTAGCAATGAGCCACAGACGCTAGAGTTATGTTACATCTAGGATAGTGAACGAACTTACTCCCTTGACGAAAAGCCCTCACTCTATGTAGTTCCCGCCTGAATTAGCGTGGTACGACTGCAGACGATCCGAATACTAGCTCTGTGCAGCTACCTGTTTCGATTTCTGCATGTGCTAATTCCCTACAAGGAAGACTTGTAATCTTTTATCCCGCGTTCTATCACCTGGTCGATTTCCGAGTGCGAAGAAGACTCCGTCTCTCTACGTGTACTAAGAAAGGCTCAGACGACCCTCCTCGTCACGATTCGCCGACTGAAAAAAGCCCTATATGCCTACTACTTCATTCCTGTGGCAATTTGATTCCGCCAGAGATTTTGCGACGTAGGCCCGGTTGACCTCACTGAATTTCTGTGGGGGGAGCGAGTCAATGTAGACAAAGCCCTGGCTGCTATCTATTGTACCCCTCTCGTGTCCAGCCTATGTAACTATCCGAACTCAACTAGGGACTTCCGGTCTTCTTCTCAAAGAGCAGAATCGGGAAGGGAAGCAAGCGAGCCACTGGCGAAGTGTAAGACATGCCAGCTTGGCGGTAAGGGTGCACGCAGGCACAGTTATCAACCCGTGCCCCATGCATGCTGAAGTGAAGGCAAACGTCTCTGAGATTGTGGCGCAATGCTTGATGGTCTATATTATCACAACGGCGATTAGTGTCGACGACGTACGAACATCCGATTATGAGCTTCATGTTAATGGGAAGGTCTTTCTCAAAACTGCTGGCTAGATATCTATTTGCTCACAAAGCTCAACCATTCCCGCGGTTCCTGCCCTGCGTAAAGGCACCGAACCCGTAAAGAAACCAATCCACTCTCACTGAATGAATTTCTACCTACGCCCAGGATCACGGCCAGTACTGGTCTTAAATCTGTCTGATGCTCGCAACGGCCCCACCAGCGGTAGACAGGAGCTGACCCTAGACCTTTCCGTCTCCAGCCTCTTTCAAGTCGGCTACGGGCGCCTGTACATCGCCAAATACGAGAGTCTGTTCGTTGGGACGGCTTGTCTCAAGTCCAAGAGCTTTTTGTAGTTCGGCCACTGCTGGGAGTTTGAATGGGCCCCCCCCGTGGATGCCGTACTTTTGGTCCGCGCTGAGCTTCGTCCGAGTGACTTCTCTGGAGTGACCGTTCAAGATCGTCTTCAGGGCAGGTGAGCTCAAGCCTTCGCCAAGCAACTTGGCCTCGTTGAAGGAGATAGTACTGTATATGTCTCTGTCGCCTGATTGTAGCTCGTCTAGCTGGCGATGATATTTCGCCACCTCTTTTGACAGATTGCCGTCGAAAAGAACTACCTGTATGGAAAACTCGGAACCTCCTCCTTTGACGGCTTTCAAATGCTTTTTGATCAGTTCTGCTTCCTTGAATTCCAAGGGGGATGCCGTGAGCAAGATGATGTTGGTAGGATGCGACTCCTCGTCGTTAGACAACCGCGACTGCAATGCGATGGACCGCTCAATGGTGAAGCGAATGCTATTCCGGAGTTTCGGCTGGGCCCGCGCTTCCTCGACAGCCGTGTCGTAGGCAGCGACGAGCTTGTCGAGTGTCAAATCTTCAGCTGTCCAGCCTTGCCAAAACCCGATCTTTTCCTCGCGAACGTGGCTAAGTAGCTGATTGTGCATTTCGACATCCGACATACGCCCCATGACCGACTTGTTTTTCTCATCGTTGACGAGTTTCCGCATCCACGCCTGAAATCCCATATTTTGGAGAGTCTGTGAGTCTTCCACGATTGCTGCAGCTTCGTCCCAGGATGAAGTCTTGAAAAGCTGATCCAGCGCCTCGGCCATCTTGGACTTTGCCTCCGAGACGTAGACGCCGTCGCTGTTGCTGTAGCTGGTGAAGAAGAAGCTCATTTCGCACCCGTATGCTTCCGCCAGAAGCCTGAGAAATGCACCAACGAGCTTTATGCAACGCCGGGCTTCAGCGTCCTGTTTGGGGTTCTCGTCCATGTACACCTGGTATCCTTTCTCCCGGAGCGGCCGGAAAGCGTCCTCCTTGTTGGCTTCTTGGACGAGGCGGATGATGTCAGCCTTCGATCTTTCTTCAGCCGGATATGCGGGCAAAGCCCCGTCTGACAGGGAAAAGAGAGGAGCTTGACTGCTGCTATGCGTATTTCCTATGGTGTGCGAAGCATTCCCGACTGGGACATGGCCAAAGTCCAGCACATGACCCTGGCGTGGTTGTGGCTTCGAGAAACAGGAGCCCATTGCGATGAGAGCTAGCAAGGTGATTTGCAGACCGGGACAAAGAGAGTGAATGAAGACGATTGCAAGAAGGTATTCCTGTACGATGAGGACGGGCACGTCTGGTGTTCTTTATAGTAGTTGCTGGAGTGCTATGGGGAAGATACCACGCAGTCCTGATCCCATAACCGGGCCTGACTGAGGCAGAGGTGACGCGAATTCTCGCCTTGTCGAGGCGATGTGAAAGCGCCTCATGGGCTCACTCAAGAACAGACGACGCGACACCGGGCGGTCACGAAGGAGGCGAATAGCAGGAGACAAACACCACCCCGGTGTCTCCTTGGCCAGCTTCGCACAGCCTCGCGATGTGACCACACAAAGTACCGTACATGATTGTCCATCTACTGCCTCCGGTTGTGGACGTGCAGAGTGTACAGCGACAGCCGTGGGTGGAGACTCCATGGCACAGACAGCAGCGGAGGCTTCCGTCCACGGGCCCTGGTCTGGCTAGATGGCCCGCGCACACAGGAGAAAAGCCATGTTGGCCGGGTTTTGTGACTTCCCTTGCGCCAGGAAGTAGCCATCAATGATAGTCACGGCGTGGCACGGACATCTTGCAGAGACCGAGAGCGCAGCGGGCGTTCCCTGCCCGTCCTGCAGTTCATCTCAATCCAGTGGGACCTCGTCACCGATCAAGAACTGGCCAGAGCTTCAGGGGTGTACATTACGCAGCAACGAATATCCCCCTAGACCGTAGTACTGGGTAGGCTTTTTCAGGCCCCGATGGGGAGTACGTCGCCTGAAGCACCAACGGCAGGAAGTAGATTACGGAGCTCACACCTCCCCTGTCACCAGCAGTTGGGTGCACCTTGCAGGGCGATTCGTACAGCGGTACCATGCGGACCCGCACGTACTGCGCTTCCTGGCAGAACGCTCGCGTACGTACCACGCCCTGTCGTGGATGTCCCTGAAGGGAGCGAGCCAGGGTGCGCGAAATGCTCGAGACGGGCGATAGGTTACTTTGTTGATCTCGAGGTGGGTGGGGCCCAGCCGGCCGAGTGGTTATGCATGCACATTTGTGCTCCGGCGGATCGTAAGTTGGCTCTGTGGCTATCACAGCCAAGGCCGTCGTGCCGCGAACCGCAGTCCACGGCCGTTCGAGCGTACGAGGCGCTTGCTTTTGAATGCGCAGACTGCTCGGCGTGGTGCTACATATCCCGTTGCGTTCCTTTGGCAGCCACGGATAAGGCTGGCAGTGGCGATTGCTCAGCTACGTCCACCGTCTCTGTATCTACGTCCGCATCGCTGGAGTCGACGGGACCCAGGCCGCCAATCTGACATTTGCACATCGAGTGGCCTGCACAAGTTACAAACACTCTTGGGGCAGATCGCAGCCTTTATACGATCGTGAGGACCACTCCAGCAACGCCCTAGATGCATACGGCAAAACACAGCCCAATCGCCTGTTCCCGCGCCGACATACCAAATTTTCTGCGGTATTACAAGCAAACGTGCGAAGTGACTTGATCTGGAAGAATGAAACCTGAGCGTTCTCTCTTTCTCAGAAGGCTTGTGAAACAGATCGTGGCTACGAAGAAAATGTCACTCATGAAAGCACCCTCCACCGCATGTCTCTGGCTGTTTCCGTCGCGTCACACTGCGGACTGTCAGATGGAGCCCTGGGCGAAAGGATCAGTAGTTAGTCATCTGTGCCTCCCGGTTGCGCGAATACTATGTACTGCTGAAGCTCTGACTGTGCGAGGCTCTGTAGTGTGGGCACTAATGGCCCGAGACGTTGTCAGCTGTCGACTTGAGTGCTAATCGCCATCAAGCCCGGGGTCGGATATGTCGTTCTGCCATTCTGACTGCGTAGGCCTGCTACTAGTACTGTCGATACAACATCTAGGAAGAAAGATCTCACTTCAGTCTGAGTTACGAGTGTCGTATCTTGTGCCAAGAAGGTCAAAACCTGTGACCCCTTGCCTCTGGTCCCTCCATAGTCGATGGGGGCAGCGACATCGATTTCGAGAATACATCAATCATCTCCAGGCACGGAACAACTTGGTGTGAGCTATCAAACACACTTTTCTTGATGGAACGGACAGCTCAAAGCAAATTCAAGTTTCCTCAGTGCCGATCTGTGGGGTCATTGCCTAGAATCGCTTCTGAAGCTTGTCGAGACTTTGCAGCAGCAGGAAGATAGTTCAGCACTGACATATATCACATGTTGACACTGCTATCCAATAGCATCAAGCCCATCGTCACAATGAGGCACATCAGTATAGGCGAGCGCATTGCCACACAAAGCCTCTGACGACGACAGAAATGTCATATTGTGTCGCTGCAGAATGGAAAAAGATATGGCCCCCTGTATGAGCTCTTTCAAGCTGGTTTAAGCCGTTTCCTACTACGCACGTCATCTTCTTGGTTCCTCATTCAATGACAGCCATCGATCACACCGCAAGACTTGAGGATCGGTCAGCTGGGTATCAAGCGGCTTGCAAGTGCATTGTCCGGAATCCGCCCATTATTGGTGCTCCCCGAAAGGTTCTGACCCATGCCAAAGCCGTCGATGGGCAATACGAGCACATCTCCACACAATGTCGGTCTTTCCAAATATGAGAAACTCATAATGTCCGTCAAGTCTGAGTTGATAGATTGCAAGTAGTCAAATAAGACTTTGGTCCACACTGCGGAACCGGTGAGATACGAAATATCGAGGTTGCTAGGCCTGTCTTTTGCCTCGTCGACTCCGTCTTGAGCCGTAGGACGCCTCATGGACGTGACCACCTGGGATATCATGTTGTGGACAACCGGATGCCCAGGTGCAGCAGCAATTGTCGAATGGGCAAATTGCAACGGGTAAGCTTTGTCTTTTGGTGGCGCATGGTCTTGCTGATCGTATATGATGCCGACAACCAAGCGGACATGACTCCGCAGGTGGCCTGGAACCCATGTTTCAATGGGCTTCAGGGCGATAGTGTCTAGATCGGTATAGATTCCGCCTCCAGCTTCCAGGAGGAGATATCGAAGCAGACTGGATCCCATACCAGCATTGCTCAGTTGTTCATACGTGTGATAGACGTCGGAGGTATTACCGTAGTGTGACTTCACGAAGCTGTTGCTGCTTCTGTTGTCGACTAGAGCGCTGTGGGGTCTCAGCTCGTGCTGTACGAAGACAAAGCCGACTTACTACGTATGTCCTCCATTGAGGGCCAGCCACGTGCTGATGCGCTCCATCGTCGTCCATATCACGGAGTCATTCATGCCGTTGGCTTTCGGTAAACTGATCTGCCAGATATGGGGCGGTATGGAGTGCTCTGACAGTGAAAGAGACCAAGAATATGAATGATGCTCGTTGGCGCATGAGATCGACGGACCATTAAGCATTTGCTGCAAAAGACGGACCAAAAAGGGTTGACGTAATACACGATCGTTGAGGCTGTGTAGGAAGTAGGTGCTGATGGAGATGAGTAAAACCGCTGCAATGATGACGGGAGCTCGCCGGCTAGATGCCGGACGAGAGAAGCGGCATCCGGCGTTTATCACGGATGCCTGAAGCTTCTTTGTGGAGTCCATCGGCTCTAGTGTCGTGTGCAACTAAAATGTGGCTGGACCATTCCATCACGACATTCAACAACGTCGAACTTCCTGCCGAAGCGCTACTTGGCTCGTCCACAAGAGCTGAAGACGAGCGGGCAGTGTTTCTGGACCAGATCTGGCGTGTTTCCGTGCCCGGCTATCATTGCGATGCTCGACGTGCCAACTGGCGTCTTCCTAGACACAACATTTCTCGAAGAGATCGAGCACTTCCGGAATCACATTCCCAGAATGCAGTGCTACCTCGTAGGCCATGCGTTGTCCGATAGCCTCCACCATAGTTCGGCATCGAGGAAGGACCGCCGCATTGAACTCGCTGCTCCGATGACCGTTAGGCAGTGTGGCCATTCTCGCCGCCATCTCGTTGAATACTCCCCTCTCGTACATGGCCAGAGGGCTTGTTCGATCGCCCGGTGGAGGCAGGCAATATTTCTGTGCTAAAAGCTCCGACGCCAGGCCTGTACCATGAGTTAGTCGGTGAATCTCAAGACATGCACGACACACATACGGATGCTGATAACCAGCGTATCACTCTCTGCGACTGAATTCCCTTGGAACGTAGACGCCAGCTCACTGATCTTTTTGTAGGCATATAGTCCCTGCCACCCGCATCGTTCGGCAAGCTCGACGAGCCAACGCGATGAACGCACAACGAGTGCTTTGAAGGCGGTCGCAAGACCTCTGCGGACGTCGGCGGTGGTGTCGAGGTTCATGAACTGCTGGACGGTTCATTCGGCATAAGCATGCAGAACGTCCCCGAAGGCCAGCGCCTTGAGTATGGGGCGCTGCTGCGTGCTGAAACTCATGATAGGCACTGCTTGCCCGTGATTCCCGACCCTGACCTGCCGATGCTGGCTGTACATGGCCGTGATGCACCCGGCCACCTTCAAGGCGGACACACCCATAATGGACAATGACAACGTCCCTACGGATCTGGACAGCAGAGGAGAGGGCGTTTACTACTTTGATGCCCCTAATGCCGGACCTGGTAAAGAGGACCAATGCGAAAGATTACATCACAGCTCCCATCGTCGACGGCGAAGCCTTGGAGAGCTTTCTTACGCGTTTGCCTACCTATGGCAATGAGTGGGAGGGCATAGGAAAGCCACCTCGGGAGGCGAAGCTTTAGACGTCGGTGGATGAGAAGGTCGGAGCTATGAATACGGCGTATCTAGACGGTGTCGGCTGACCAATCGCTGAGAACCATGTCGTCGTGACCGAGATTTGAGGCGATAGAAAGACAATGAAAGATGCACTTTTGCAGACTGGCTCATAGAGATCCAGTGCGTGAACGTCCGTAATGCCCAGATGCCGATTCGGGCGTAGGCTCGATATTTCCCAAACGGCTGCAGGCAACAACATAGGCACTGCGTGCCGAAGAACCCGGTATTCTATCCATGATTTCGCGGTGTAGGAAAGTATGCCGCCTTGCCTGAGGCTTACTTGCGATGAGACAGTGGTAAAGACCCACACACTCAAGATATCAAGTAGTTCCGTCTATGTGACAATTCAACACAGCGGATAAGTGATGCGAGATAGGTGATATGTCTTTTTGGTCATTTCGGGTACAGTACAAGCATGACGATGTGGTAATTAACAGTCTTTCAACATAGGAGACTGGTAATGTTTAACACGGTTGTTAGAATCTAGCCGACCAACCAGCACACCGCGATATCACTATGCATCTATATCGCTATCTTGTCGGGGAGGCAAGGAAAGGCCTCGCTCGCCCCTGGCCTTCCGTCTGTCGGACATGTGGAGGACCGCAAGATGAGCGAATGTCATAGCCGGGCCAAGAGTGACCCCGGCTCCCAACGACGTAGCACCCATGACCGACGCTGATGAGTTGCCGGCCGCGTATAGACCGTCAATAGCATTGCCACGTGTATCTACCACGCGCCCATATTCGTCTGTCAGCAGACCGCCCTTGGTGCCGGCGTCTCCCGGAGTCACCCGTATGGCATAATATGGGGGTTGATCGAGAGATCCCATGTTTGGTCGCTTCGCGCTTCTGTCCCCGACGAAGAGGTGGTAGTTGCTGCGGCCCTTGCCGAATAGCCTGTCGACTCCGTCGTCGCACGCCTGGTTCCACGTCTCAACCGTACGCAACAGGCCTTCCGCTTCGACGCCGATCTGAGCTGCGAGACTGGCCAAGTCGTCTGCCCTGAAGATGTGGCCGCGAGCCAGGGCGCCAACCGGCTCGACCCTAGGGCCAAGCGACCCTAGAGTGTACCGACTCCGGTAGTTCCAATCAAGTATCAGCCAGGCATTGTTGTCATCGCCCCGAGACCGATGATAGAGCGCACGACCCACGTCGCCGTACGGGTCGGCCTCGGAGAAGATTCTGGACCCTTGCTGGTCGACAACAATGCAATGGGGCTTACAAAGCTCGAATAAAGCGGTCGTGAGCTTCCCGCTTCCAGGGTCGATGATTGTGGGGATCCACCACGCTTCGCCCATGAGCGAAGTGGCCGCGTCGACCGTGTATGCTGCTTCCAGAGCGTCTCCCGTATCGCCTCCAGGCTGGGTCAGCGTCCACTCAGCTCCAATGCTGGGTAGATGTTCCCGCCGCAGATCTTCACGCCGAGAGAAGCCACCGGATGCCAGGAGAATCCCATGGGGGGCATATATCTTGATAAGCCCGGAATCTTTCGACTCCACGACGGCGCCGCAGACCGCTCCACCCTCGACGATCAGATCTTTGAACTTGGTGTTCATTTGAACCTGGACGGCCGTATCCCCCTTGCGAAGGCAAATGTTCAAGAGCTGAGCAATGAGCGAGCTGCCCATGTAAGTCGGCGTGGTCATGGTTCTGCTTCGGAAAAATGCGCGCAGCTTCATCCAACAAACTGTGAGAAGGTCGATGGCGGATGCGTAAGGCTTGGTTAGGGTGAAAAAATCATGAAAATAAGCCACCGGTGCCGAGTGTTCAGGTCGGCGCAGGCGATTAGCCCAGCGCCCCAACGTCCCGGCGTCAAACGGACACGGGTCTAACGTCCGCCCGCCTGCGTCCATGGCACCTGCTACCTCCGGGTGGTAGTCGGGAATCGGAGAATGTCTCCACCGGAGGCCTAGGTGGCGGAAGAAATTGACCATTTCAGGTCCGCCGGTGAGGAAGGCATCGATCCGCGCAGCGGAGGACTCCGGTCCAGCGCCGCCACTCCGCGCAAGAGAATCTTGCAGGTATTGGCGGGCAGCGTCGCGAGAATCGTGAAAACCGGCTGCTTCGGAGACCGAGTTTCGAGGAATCCATACGGTGCCTCCAGAGTAGGCTGTTGTACCTCCTATCTTATCGGTTTGCTCGATGACCATCGTGCGAAGACCAAGTTCCTTGGCTGTGGCAGCGGCTGCCAGGGCGGCTGCGCCGCTACCCACCACGAGAACGTCGATTGTGTGATCGGTTGTCGATCCCATGTCTTGTTTTGATGTCCGCGTTCACTGAAACCTCGTGCAGAGTTAAAAAACAATACAGTATACCTGAATAATTATCTTTGAGTAGAAGAGGAAAACTGGAAAGGCCCTAGTCGAGAACCAATTATAACTTGTTGCAACGGGGTATGAACTGGTGTCTCTTTTCAAATCAAGATCTAGCAGATCTGAACGCTCAAATTATATACCCATCACTGCGCAGATAAAATGCCCTGTACGGGACATACATCTCAAGGGACTAGGATATTCCCCCTGAGAGCCAAAACTGTATCAGTGATCACCAATCATCGCTGCACGAGGCGATGTCACGAAGTTGCGAAGTTCTTTTCGGACCTCATAGAGATGATGAATCAACAACACACGACATCCACTTTCACAGCGTTTGCAATGTTATGTTGATATGTATAACCGGATTATGGAAGCATGCAACAGCCAGAATTAGTGTAGTAAAAATGATGGACACGATTCTCGTTTGAGAGTCAGCCGCTTTGATCAAACCCGGGACGCAACTAAATGATATTGACACCCACAATGAAAGCTAGAACTCGCCCTTTGCGCCATGTGTCAACTCAGCCACCTCATTCAAGACCCTGAACTGGTCTTTGCCATGGTAAGTTCCATCTCGTTGCAAAGTACTACGGACTTGTTGTTGTGTCTCTCATCGAAAAGAAACCCACAAGCACGAGATATTTCAATACTTTTTAACAGAGTCGCAATTTTAGCTTTAGTTTATTGTATTTTACAAGATACAATGAGCTTATCTTTAGTAGGTAATGGTTTGTTCAAGTGGAATCTCCAGACCGACCTCGAACTAGTCAAAGTACCGAGCCTATACTATAAAGTGCTCCTTAGGGATATCATGTTTCGACGGCAACAAACGCCTCGGCCGGGGCCGTGTTCTGGATGGTATCGTGGTACGCCGCAAGGAGATAGCCATGCATCCAGAGATCACTTTCGAGCTCCCAGGTCGGACACTCGTATCCGGCCCACTTGACCCCATAGAGGACCGTGCCGTTTGTGGCTTCGTGGTGCCCCGCAATTGACTCAAGCACGTGGCTGCTCTGGCCTTCAACTATGTGCGGACGCTGAGCACATTCTTGCCACACTCTAACGCACTGCCCATCATCGAAGACCCAGAGGAGCAGGTCCGATTCAGGCCAACTCCATAGCTGAGACTCTTGATTCTCAGCGAGAACACCGAAAAACACTCGATCGCCGGATTGCAGGGTGCAAATAACGCGGCGGACGGTGATGCATGGAGACCAGTCTCCTTTAACCAACGTCCCCCCCGTAACACTGAGCATTTTGCAGCTAGGTCCGACCATGTAGGAGTTTGGCGGTAGCGTACAAGTTGGATGCCACGGCCAGCCGCGTGAAAAAGAGATCTTGTCATGGTCAGGACTCAGGGGCCGTTGATCTACTTATAAGAGTCTGCATCCAAAAGCGGATGCGTCAAGACGTACGCTTTTGGTGGTGGAAGTACCCATAAAACAACAGTCCTGTCGCTAGTCCGAATGTGATTCCCAGAAGCCTGATTTCCATCCCGTTCCCCGATCGTTATTCTGAATGAACAATAATGAAAGAAATACATCAACACCGTGCAAAGGGTAAACGTCATCATGATATGGAAAACAAGAGTCAGGAAACCCCGCCAGCGGTGCCCGTGCTGATCAAGGCCAATACGACCAATACACCTGAGTGTAGGCTGCAAGCTATCTCAACTGATGACTTGGACGAAGCCTGGACTCGTGACGGAGATCGGTCTTGTTGAGGCATACGTCAGATATCACTCATACGACCCCGGGGAGCAGCCTCGAAGCAACACAAAGTGACAAGACGGGAAACGGTGCAGTTCATGAGTCATTAGGTGCCACAGGCCAATACTAAATCTAACTAAGTACTTTGGTAACCCCTACTTGCAGCCACGGTTTCGTGGGACTTGCTTCCCGATGTCCCACATTTGTAGGAAAGCCGGACGGCTCGTCTCAAGGCATTCGGCCCCTCTGATCTGTCCAAGAACACAGTCTGCGTCGCATCAGTTTCTAGAAGTATAGTGGCACTTCCCTGCATACATACTGTGCTGCTCGGCTGAAGACCCGCCTTCAAGATTTCAAGGAACTCGAGTGCTTCGTTCGACCATTGAGTTATGCCTGTGCCAAGCCGAACGACGACTTGTTGCAAAAAGGCTGCCACTGTCTCGTGGGACAACACTAAGGCCTTCCCCAAGACAACACCAGGCATCGAGATCGTCGCGAAGTCGGGTACTTGACGGTCAGTCACGCTGTGGTTGCAGCACACACTGCCCAGGCAATCACGCTCACCGATTTTGATAACGCCCGAGGTGGAAACGCGGATGCTCCGAATCCCGAGTCGCTCAGATAGCGATTGAAGGTATTCGACGCTAGAAAGAAGCTACAAAGCTGAGTGTCATCGCTCCCACGGACTGGCAAGCGAGGCCACGAACCTGAGACAGGACGGCAGCAATCTCCCGCTCGCATGTGAGGTCAAGTTCGAAGACGTTCAAGCCTACAAGCTCGTATGTTCTGTACATTCTATCACTTAAGAAAAGGCCAAAAAGCTGCACCATGTTCGGATGGAGCGGCTTCGCCAAGGCTTCGAACTGCGTGATGGTGAGGTCCGGCGCTTCCTGGACCGTAACAAACTGGGGCCTCGACGGGCTCTCGAGTCGGCGGAAGAACATTCCGATCCAGCCATCAGCAACATCTCTCACCCACTTGTATCTGTCAATCGGATGCGTTCCGACATAGACTGCTGGCAGCGCTGTTACCTGGGTAACATCCAAGGAAGGGCGCGAAGGCGGCTGATGTGATGGCATTTGGGGCATTGGACGACAAGCAGGATCAACGAAGCCGGCCGGAAGTTTCTTATGACGACTAACGTACAGAGCCAGAAGTAGGAGCGCACAGGCCGTCTATCCGCAGTCACTGACCATGCCAGTCAATGGGAGCAGCTTTAGGACATGGGGGAAGATCCGGTGCACCGTGCAGAAAGAAAATCGGCTCCATCACAGTGGTCGCACAATGATCAAGGGCGTATAAATGAAGAAATGCCTGAGGTCCGAGCACATGATTTATGTTGGAGATAGGGGCATAGAGGCATTTGACAACTCTAGAGATGGAGCGTGCTCGGGATGGGGTGCTGGACCCTGCGCCCGCATTGCTAGCAAACCGCCATTACGTTGGGCTTGAAGTTAAGTGCGCCACGATAACTTGATTCCTATGACTCTAAGAAAGACTGGGAGGTAGCATTCTTGCGAAGACCTATGCGCGAGCGTGAAGGAAAGTGCAGGCAATTGTCTTTCAAACCGGCGCTTTTGTCAACCAGGCGCTTGTTCGGCGCCATTGTGGCTCCCCAGCATTCCAACACCGTGCTTGCAGGCTATGATCTCCCACGTATTCTCCTTGCGGCTCTCGCATACAGATGATGCCCTATATAGAATGGAGTTTTATGGCCCTGAGGCGTGCGCGATTTTGTGCGATAGCAAGAAGCACCTCGTCCACGTGGCCCGCACCCTGGCAAGCTCTACGCTTCTGGATGTGTCCACGTCTGTAATTGACTCTCCCAGAGGCGAGTCAGCTCAGGTAGTGATTACCATGCGTCCGAGTTGCCCTGTCCAATAGCACGGCTGGATTCCAACGTTCACCAACCGCAAGCTACTGGCCAAGGTCTGGTGTGCTAGTGCTGAAGGACAGGAAAGGTCGTGAAAAGGTATGCACGCGCTCTCCGAATAGACTTTTCTCCAGTTTTGAATACCCTAATGTACAGACACGACTGACAGGCCCATTTTCCAAGGTATTCAAGCAAACTTGGATTAAATAAAGAACGAAAGGCAGATCGCTGATGTCGTGGTTTCCAATGAAAGGCTTAACAGCAGGATTACGAGCCGCCAGAGATTGCGGTCCCTCTCAGCGACGCATATCGTTAGCATGGTCCATACAATACTCCTTACAATACCGGGGGGCTATACGGCCAGCTCTGAAAGCCTGGAAAAGACAGCTCAGATTGTCAAAGCGGCTTTGCATGGTCAACGATGAACCTCCTGGGCATGCCAGAGAGAGGTTTGCTGACAAGAAGATGAAGATGCGTAGCTGAATACGCGAGGGTCCCTTTCGCTAAGCCAACCTGATCCCTATCCCATTGACTCATGAAACCGCCGACTCGGCGATCGAGCACGACTACCTGACCGTTTCGGACATCTTCGCTACGGGATGAACCGGCACTGACTACACTGGGTTCCAGCCCGGCGATTCTGTCGCCGTCTCCGGGGCGGGTCCCGTCGCCCAGATTCGGGGTCGCGAGCCGTACGGGGTCATGCGCACCGTCGACTGTGTTGGCATGGAGGCGTTGAATTCCAGCCTTGAGATGGACGAGAGCGTTGTCACAAAACAG